ACTCAGTATATTCCTTCCATCTTCTTTTGATACCTCCTGGATCATTTAACATTCTGCCTAAAGCATCCTAGCTTTTAAAAATGTCAAATTTTTTGTAGTAATTAATGTCTAAGCAGCTCCAATCATATTCAGTTAGTCAACCATTCTCTATCTTTGTTTGTGTGTGTATATAGTTGATGTGGACTGTCAAGTTGAAACCAACTCATAGCTGACCTTATGCCTTTTCAGAGGCCGTTAACAGAATGCAAAGAGATTGCCCATCCTTCTCCTGCAGAGCAGCTGGTGGAATCAAACTGCATGCCTTTGGTACTATAGCACAACTTCGTATCACTGGGCCACCAGAGTCATATATATAGTATGTGTGTATATCTGTGTGTATGTAGGATATACATGTGATATAGATAAATGCATATACCTTTTCAACATGTATGCAGAACAGATTATCTGAGAGGGTGGGCTCTATGAGGAGAAGTGTGGGGTCAAGACTGGTGGAAGATCTATCAAAAATCTGAGATATGCAGATGACACAACCCTGCTTGCTGAAACTGAGGAGGACCTGAAATGCTTGCAGAGGGTCAAGGACTGCAGCCTCCAATATGGATTGAGGCTCAATGTCAAGAAGACAACGATTCTCACCACTGGACCAACTGCCAGCATCAGGATGGATGGTGAGGAGATTGAGATTGTTTACAGCTTTAGTTTGCTTGGCTCCACAGTCAACACTCTTGGGACCAGTAGCCAGGAAATTAAAAGGTGTATTGCCATGGGAAAGTCTGCTGTTAGGGACGTCTCCAAAGTACTGAAGAGCAACGGTGTCTTTCTGGAGACTAAGGTGCATCTGATACAGGCCGTGGTCTTTCAAATCACTTGTTATGCATCAGAGAGTTGGACAATGACCAAGGAGGAGAGGAGAATTGATGCCTTTGAGCTGTTGTGCTGGAGAAGAGTATTGAGAGTGCCATGGACTGCCAAGAAAACAAACAGATTCATCCTGAAAAGGGTTAAATCCTTGGAGGCAAGGATTCCGAGGCTCCGTCTAACATACTTTGGACATGTTGTGAGGAGAGACAGGTCCTTGGAGAAAAGCATCATGCTTGGGAGAGTGGAGGGACAGCGCAAGAGGGGAAGGCCCTCTATGACGTAGACTGATTCAGTGACTGGGGTAATCGGGATGGGAGTGTCAGAGACTGTGCGATTGCCATGGGACAGAGGAGAGTTTAGGGCTGTTGTACATAGGGTCGCTATGAGCCACCAAGCAACTCGATGGCAATTAACAACAATAACAACATATTGTTGTTATTATTATGTACCATCAAGTTGGAACTGACTAATAGCTAACCCTCCAATGGGCTTTTAGAGGCTATAAATCATGAGAGACAGAAGGGTTTAACTAATTGAATATGATAGGAGCTGCTTGGAAACATTAGGGGGCTCTGGTAGCCTAGTGCATAAAAGATATAGATGATAGATACATACATACATACATACATACATACATACATAGAATTTTCCTCAACTAAGATATCATCATACATACTTAAAATGAAATTTACTGTATCAATTGTATTCACACACATATATAGCTTAACTCTTTAATTTAGTGGAAAAAATCCCTGGGGCAAACCTATACCTCAAAATCCTGTAATAAAGAATATTATTAACAGGGAGAAAAGTGACAGGAGTGAAGGCTCATTTGCACAGAAATTTCTCTTTGCAGCCTTTCAAAACTACCTGATATTGTTGTTGCTGTTATGTGCAGTAAAGTCGCCTAAGACTCATAGTGACACTATGTACAACAGCACTAAACCCTGCTCTATCCTGTGCCAATCTGTCTCAGGCACACTTAGCCCCATAACCCCAGTCACTGAATCCATCCACCTCATAGAGGGTCTTCCTCTCCTGCGCTGTCCCTCCACCCTCCCAAGCATGACATCCTTCTCAAGAACTGGTCCCTCCTTGACAAAACACATCCAAAGTATGTGAGACAAAGCTTCAGAATCTTAGTCTCCAAAGAGCAGCCTGGTTTAACTTTCTCAAGGTTGAACCTGTTAGACTTTTAAAATCTAAATGTTAGAAACTACAACTCAAAATGTTTGTGTTTATTGTGCTTACATGTTGTGACAGTACTTACCAGCCAGTCTTGAAAAGAGTTTGTTTATTTACCCCTTGGAGTGGGAGTTTTGGTTTCCTTTACAAGGCAGATTTCCATCTTCTAGTCTGAGAATGTGATCCTGAAGAACCCGTTGAAGTAGCACAATAGCCCATGCATTGTTGTCACAACCTAAAAGCAGTACCTGGAGGAAATTTGGCCTAGCCCTGCTGTCTTTACTTAATCAGGGACTCCTATACTGAATGGCTGATTCTTGAGGCCACGATTCCTATCCTTTACCATACCCTAGCTCAGATCAGAGGGCATAGGTAAGGATGGATGGGGGGGAAAATGTTATAAATAGATTAGATAAAAATAGAGACTAAATCTATCAGCTTTTGTGATAAGTGACGAAGCTCGGGTTTCCAAAGATGAATGTCTTTATAGAAGCAAGTTGTCTCATCTGTTCCCCTCATAGTGGCTGGTGGATTTGAATTTTGAATCTTTCCCTCAGTAGCCCAATGCTTAAGCCACAGTGCCATCATTATTCCAATCTAATGATGCTGAGAAGTCTAAAAGAGCTAAAACCAATGCTCTAGGGAAGTTTTTAGTTTTCTGTGAGTGAGAAGTTCCAGGTACTCAGTAAATGCTAATTTGTAAATGAGGAAATACTATGTCCTCCAGCATAGTAATAGTGGCAAGGATGACAAAGTGTTTTATTCTACCGTACATCATGTCATTATGAGTCAGAACTGACTGCATGACACCCAACAGCAAGTAAAAAGTAGAAAGAAGAAGTAACAATAACAGGTGGTTCCTGCAGAGCCAGTGAAACAATAATATCCTTCTGGTTCCAGAAGTGCTCAGATTTTTTTTTTCTAGTCTAGTTATAATACTTCCTAAAGGTATTACATTAGACCTTCTGTTATTCCCAAAGCTTGATGTGTTTTGTGTTTTACTGGAAACAATAGACGTAGTTAAATTTAAATAAGGGGGAAAAAAATTAATAGAAATAAGTGATAAGTGACAAGATGTTTTGTTCTCCATTTCACTGAAGGCAAAATATGGAAGCTAAATTATCCAAAATCAATTTACAAATTTAAAAAGTACCAAAATTTCATAATGTGGCTTTATGTTATTATATTGAAAAACAACTCACATTTTATTTTCTGCCAAACAAAGGTGTTCTTTAAGAAGTTGTATTTCAGATTCTTTTTCTTGAAGCGCTATCTGAGACTGATATTCTTTGTCTCGATTGGCCACCAGCAAAGCTTCTAGATTCTGCATGGAGATTCTCTCATTTGTCATCTGACTCCTGAGAAGTTCTATTTCAGAACGAGCAGAATCTAACTCATTCTCCATCTGTGTAATAATAAACCAATATCTATACTTATTTACATGCATTCATTCAATTCATAAAGAGAAAATTTCTGTATTCTTATAAATAATTTTTAAGATCTTGATACGAAACTCTGTCCTTCTTACCAAATACAAGCACACATACACACATCTCAAATTATATCAGAAAACGAATTTTAAGAATTTCTAATCCCAAACTGCAAATTATTTCCATTTTTAGTGTATATATATATATATATATATACACACACACACACACACACACACACATACTAAATAAATAAATAAATATTTTTTTTCCTGTAAGACTGACAGGATGATATTAATAACTACTGCTTGTCCTTAGACATCTAACTAGTTTATGGAATATTAAAGTACATAAGAAATAAGTGCCAATTTCCTATCTTATAAAGTCCTGTAGAAAGCAATAAAATTCTTTGGAAGCAAATTGATTTCTATTTCTTCAAAAGGAAGAAAATCAGGAATTATTAGTTGGGGGAAAAACTATTCCTACCTCGTAATGTGCAAAATAAAAATGGACAGTCTCCTCCCTTGTGATTTATTGCCCCTGGAAATTAGCTGCTGAAGGCTCAGCTATGAGTCAGTTCTGACTTGATAATACTCAACAACATCCACATAATATAGTTTATAACAGGTAATAAATTCATTTGTAGAGTTAAATGTGAAAAAAAAATCTTCAAACTCTAAGAAAACAGAAGTGAATAAAAATTATACTATTATTGGGGATGGTTGTTTTTGTTGTTGTGTATCATTTATCAATACCAAACAGGTAGCTGACTCTACCAAGTTTTAAGAAGCAGTTAATTGCACAAGAGGAGAAAGCCCATCTTTCTCTTGCAAAGCGAAGAACTCGAACTATGTGCCTTCAGGTTTGTAGTACAGCTTCTCACCACTAAGCCAGGGAAGAACTTGCTTAAAAGTAATGGAAAACAAGAAGTTTGAAAAACATGAAAAATTAACATTTTGATAGTCAATAGAAAAGTGACCAAAATTTAAAAGGAAATAAGTGGAGAAAAATAAACTCACTACGTTTTTAATAATGAACATCTTTATTTGT